ATATGGTGCTCGTCGTTTATTACGCTGAGCAAACTAGCGCAAAACCTAAAGGACTTATTCGAAAAACCGATGCAACTGCCTCAAACGACCACGACGATCATGAACGTTCGACTGTCGGTGACGACTAGACGATTAGGCTTCGAGTACAGTATCTGGAAACGAAAACCACTGTGGCGCGACCGTTCATCCAATCATCGGTCTGTGGTCGACTGGTCGACTTAAAAGAAAGACCACTTGCAGCTTCCGGTGATTAATAATGGGCGAATGAGGATGACACTCGCCCTCAACCTCATACTCATCCGCTACCGGCAAACCTGCATCGATCGTGTCGACCTTCATTTACTGGACACGAGTTGGTAGTCTTAACATCAGACGGACACGCCCCATGAAAACGCTTCATAAATTAATGTGCATGTCATCTCAGAGGACCTCTGGTCGCTGATTTTCAAGACAATTCGATAATTTCTAGATTCACATTTTAAATGTGACAGCAAATCAATACGGCAAAATGCAAAAATTTGGCAGTGAGTGATGGTGAGTCCAATTCGTCTTCGTTGTCTTCGTCGTCTTCTTCTCTGTTCATCATCTTCAGATGCAATCCGTTCAGGGCGAAAAGCAACTGAACCTTCTGTAGTCGAAAACGCAAATATCGTAAAATGGTTCTCGGCGTACTGCAGTGATGATCTCGTCGTTCCAGCACATGTTCTTCTTCGTGCATCCAGCAAAAACGAGCAGTGGAAGTTCAATTTGCATATTTCAGCAGAAACAGACTCTTTGTATATTAGACATCATGCAAAGCAGGTGTCTTGGCCAAACACGCCGTCTTGCATAGAGCCCCATTTGCATTTTCTGGAGTTCTGGTAAAAATAACTATGGCCTCGTTTACCATCAATATCATACCCAGTTTGCAACGGGTAACAGGGATTGAGAATTGGCTTTTTTTGCCTAAACAAGGTCAAACGCCGTCGCGCTCACTCTCTAACTTTGAATAGCGCTGAGCAGCACTGCGAAGAAGATCTATTGCTGTAATGAAGGGGGGTACCCGAATTAATAACTTATAATATGCAAATGACTGTGAAAAATGCCGTCACTGACTAACTGACGCTTTATGAATGACTTAGCGAAAAAGAGCCTTCAGCCGAACTCGTCGAATATCAAGTTGTTGAAGAACCCACACAGACCATGCTGTGAAACAAAGATGTGACATGGAAACAGTAACACTGAAGAAACACCAAATTTAAATTCTTTAAGGCTGTCATTTCCAACGATGTTAAAGGTGACAAGGATCTGAACAAGAGGACTTCACACTTTCTTTCATTTACAAGAACCTATCAAAACTTTCGACAGGTAATGGAATGACAACTGCCTCAAAGATTTGACTTTTACCGCACTACTATGAAACCGTTGCTACTATATGGATCAGAAACATACAATTACATAAGAACGAAGATTGAACTGCATCCATAAGCACAGATTCTAATCAGAGGAATGACCACAGTTTCTCGCCTTGAATGACCTCAAGGAAACATCAGTCGCAATCAAAGGAGGAAGTTGGCTAAATTCGATCTCCTGCGGAAAAGACAGCTTTCCAGCTGCTGACTTTGAGTCGAATGGTAATGAACCTAGAGATGCCAATCTCCAACGCATGACAAGACAAATAAAACTAAATGGAAATTTGATATCGATTAGGATTCCTTCCTTCGTCAGTGGATCCAACACTTTCTAACATCACAAAGCTAAATGAGGAGACGAAGACATGCTTTCACATATTTACTGACAATGTGGGAAGGCTGCTGCAATTTGTGGTAGTTACTGCAAAAAAATTGCGGCTATGTTTTTAGTGCCTGTTTAAACAGTGAACAAGAGGACGGTGCATTACTGCGATACCACCTGGCGTACAGGCTATTATCTGTCCGACAGTACTGCGGTATCGATGTAAATTACGAGAAACTATTTTTTATAGGAAAGGATGTCGTGGCGTAAATCCATAATCGGTCCATTCC